GTTAGGGGAGAGGGGGCCAGGGGGTGGGAAATCTCCCCCAGCCCTCTCTGCATCGCTTGGCACGGGGGGGGGGACGCGGACGGACTACCACCTGTGTGCCAATGGAAGGAGGCTGGTAGAAAAGAACGGTGGCTCCAAAGTTCCAGGCGGAGGCCAGGTGAGACCCGCAGCACAAAGGTCCACCTGTCCACAAGGGGGTGAGGTGAGGAACTTCTCCAAAAGACCCTCCGGAGGCTGTGGGGCCAGGGGATCTCACCGGCACCTACACTCGAGGATCTCCCTGCTCCAGAGGCCTGGGCCGAATGACTTCCCTCTGCCAGGACCCCTTGCGGAGAGGGGGAAGGCCAAGGCATGGTCTCACGCCTGCCCCCACCCTCTTGTAGGGCCACTAGGTCCCCCCTGGACTTGGGGGGGGCGCGATGGGGACTGTTATGTATTGGGACTGAAACATTGCAGGAGACAGGGTGAGCTTGGAGCCGAGTAACAATAGACCAACAGGATTCTGGCAGGAACCCATCAAGATGTAAAGTTTTGTAAATAGCCTATCGTTGGGAGTGGGGTGTGTTTGGGGTGTGGCCATTGCAGGCAATAGAACCGAGCTGAGGCGCTGGTCTACGGCCGTGTTCTTGCTGAAATCACTGAAGAGAGTAGAGTTGATCACTAGACTGGGCGTCTGTTCGCCCATGGAACCCACTATTGAACAGGGACTCAAGGACGGTTGCCAGATACAGGTTGGAAAATTCCCGGAGATTTGGGGGTGGAGCCTGGGGAGGACAGGGACCACCACAGTCCTCTGCAGGGGTCATTTCGTAGAAAAAGAGGTGCAGGCGCTCATTAGCATAACTCATTAGCATAACTCGTTTGCATAGGCCGCACCCCCTGACATCACCGGAAGTGTGTCAGAAGGCCACACCCACCGCTCAGGCTCCACTGGACTGTTTTGGATTGCTAGCTAGTGAGGAGGGGGGAACGTGCAGTTCTGTTTTCACAGAGGAGGGAGAGCTTGTACCTGAATAAAACATGGTCCTAAATGTGCCACTAGACTGTTTTGGACCGGGGGTGGGGGGGGAGCTCTGCAGCTTACCTGGTCCATCAGTGGCTATTAGCCACAAGGTATAGATAGGGGCTCTGGGGCAAGGGATGCTCTGTCTTC